TAGGAGGAATGAAAGGGCCAGAAATCTCCCTCCGCGCCCAAGAGGACCTCAGCACCACAAGTAGCGCAGATGCAGCATGGAACCCGTGCCATACCCTACCCATCATGCTAGTAAACTAACAATCCGGGATAGCAACCTCACATCTGCCGAGCTACCTCGGTGGACAAAAGAGAGGGCGGCCGGATATCCGCCACAAAGCATACCTCCTTCGGCCACCACCCCCGGAATCTGAAAGGTGGCTTCCAGAGATACACCCGTCGCCCAAAAGACACCCAAAGCTACTCCGGGATACCGGAGAGGGATCGGGACATCCCCAGGCGATCCAGATTCCACGGCAAACTACGCCACCGCCAAGAACCTCAACCGAATGGGATAGACCCCGGTATCCTTTCCCCTACTCAGGAAGTAGAGCGCCTGTGGGAGAAATCCCAAAGGCCAAAAAGAGGAAGGGCAAAAGGGAGGGGTGGGGAGGAGGAGGAGGAAAGGAAAAAGGGGAGGATGGGATAGGGGAGGGGAGATTGGGGGGTAATTAGGTTCGGTCTGAGGAAGAAGACCGACAGGTCTAATTCCTCAGACCAAGAGCCTCTTCACCACGCCAAGGAGCCCCCCTTGAAGAGGCACTGGACAAATAATAATTTTAAAAATTTTCTTGGGTAGAATAGTTTGTTGGTGGGTTGTGCAAAGGACCTGTCCAGTTGGCCCGGCGCATGTCAGGTGTTTAACCGTTGTGGGATCTGATAGTGAGGTGTTGGCCAGACCCCTTATATACCTTCCTTGGATGCTTTACTTTCATAGTTCCTTGATAATGTGAGTAGTCACGAAAGCGCTTGGAATTTCTCTATTCTTTCAGAGTGGTTGTTTTGCATATTCTGAAATCACCTGTTTACTGTGATCTTATTGCATATATATTATATATATATATATATATATATATATATATATATATATATATATATATATATATATATATATATATATATATATATATATATATAATGCTCAGCTTTTGGATAATTCGTGAGGGCTTCCATGATACTAGGTGGTTACTTGCCTCGCAAATTAACCGAGGTGATAATCTTGTCCTCACAAATTTCATGCACACTTTTTCTGGATGAAAATGGACGAAGAACCAACTTGAGATGGTCCCCAGATAAGGTGTTCCCAGTAGACTTTACCTTAGCGAGGTTATGCTGAAGGTCTGCCAGCAAACCCTGGTACTGCAAGATGACTGCTTACCTGAAAAGGCAAGTTAAATGAAAGATGCTTATCCTAAACAAAAAAGTCAATATTTAAGTCCTTTCATATCCTGCAGGCTGGTAAGTTTATTTAGGTACAGGTCCACATTGAAGTCCGTAGTTCGATCCCCGTTACAGGTGGAAACATTAGGAAGTGTTTCCTCAAGACACCTGATGTCCCTGTTCACCTATCAATAAAATAGGTACCTGGGTGTTAGCCGACTGGTGTGGGTAGCATCCTGGGGACAAAATTAACCTAATGTGCCCGAAATGCTCTGCATAATCAGGAGCTTTGTATATAGCATGTCACTGATGTCAGCTAGGTCTGTATATATTGTACATGTACTTGTAGAAATAAAGATTATATTATTATTATTAGTGTAAATAACATAGGTTAACCCAAAAATAGTCAGACAAAATGACTTATTTCCATTGGAATCCTTGTATCAAATAACTATGCCACATTTTCACATAGGGTTTCCAAGCCCATTTCTAAGTTAGGCTGGGTTAGGATGTGTTGTGTTGTGTTGGGTTACGATGGAAAAACAACAAATATAAGATGGACGATAAAATAGTTTGACGTGCTAACATGAAACGGGCAGCCACTGTGCGCGACTCGTCCTTTCAATTGTTCAAGGTTCCGTCAACAGTCACCCATTTGACTGTTTTTACAACAGTGTAATGCTGCCTGTGGCTTAAGAGGACGAGCTGTTAAAATAATGGTACTGAAAATTTGTCTATTTGGGGTATTTACCCCCAATAATAACTGCCCCTATCAGACCCTGGTTCAATGACACTGTTTTGTAGCCAATACGAAACAAACTGTTCCCATTACTAACATCTGGCCATCATTAACAGGAGCCTATTACGTTGGTGTAGTATTTTTCAGGTCGCCTCCAGTGTTTCACCGTTTAAGTTATTATCGATACTCAGTTCTCGTTCGGAAAACCTCCAACCTGCCGTTCCGGCCCAATCTTCGTTAGTTTCGCTCCCAAAGACAACGACCCGGTTATTAAATGTAATGTGATGCAAGTCTTCCTAAAATGATGATAAAGCATAAGTCCCCTGATGAAGTGTTAATAAATACGTCGTTTGAAGCTCCCGTCACTGATTCCAGTGCTGCTTAAATCTTGTATGGGAATATTTACTAATACACACACAACGTGCAAGACACAACACAAACACAAACATGCACAAACACTCTCCCTACCATACTTTCTATTCACATCATTCTCGCTTCAGGGAGTAAAAAACGAAAGTAGTATTTATCCTCCTGGACAGCTAATCAGCAAAGTATTGTGTTACAATTTGTGAGGGGTTAATGTGTGAAGGCGAGGGAGAAATGAGAGGTGGAGTGGAAAATAGGGATGAAGGGAGAAGTAAAGGAAGGATGGAAAGGAGATTCCAGGCTTGCCAACGCGTTTAGCACGTGAGGGAGAGTAAGAGGAACAGAGGAAGAGATAAAGAGAGGGAGAGGAAGAGAGAGATAAAAGGGATTTACATTATTATTATTATTATAATCAAGGGGGAAGCGCTAAACCCGGAGGATTATACAGCGCCTGGGGGGGGGATATGTGGAAGGCATTCAGGCTTAATTCGGGGAACTGGAGCACAGATCCAATTCCCTAAATCAAGAGCCCCTCACCAACATCAAGGAACCTTCCTTGAGGGGAAAGGGATTTACAAACGAGCTGGGGACTAGAGCAACTCCGAGCGTGTAAAATACGTTGGATTTCTCGTATCTAATCCTGCAGACACCAAATGCTTGAGGGTTTTATTTGTAAAACAACAGTTTCATCATTTCGCGCTTTAAAAAAATTCTGTTTCTAACATAATAAATGGCTATAATTATAAGCATTATTATTATAGGGGTAGACCAGTAAGCCAGCGGAAGTACTCGGTCACATGACCAAACGCGCCAGCGCCGGGTCATCATACGACTAAGACCCGCCTCCCGCGCACTATCATTATCAACTTGCTACTGTGGTAACCAATTCACTCTTGCATTACATAAATCTTAGTCACATAGCACGTAAAACAATTCAAAACCTTATTCTTCACATTCCACACACTACATAAATAATTCTCCCAGTGTCATCAACCAGGTCAGCGAATTTCGACGAAAAGGGAAATATACCCACCATTTATGCCGAGAGAGATCCTGGATCCTTATTAATAAAGTAATACCAGTTTTACCAATATAAACAAGGCAGTAATACCCGTCTTACTTATATTACCACGGTAGTAATACCAGTCTTGCTAGTATAAACAAGGCAGTAATACCTTTCTTACTAGTATAAACGAGGTAGTAATACCTGTCTTACTGGTATAAACTAGTAATACCTATCTTACTAGTATAAACAATGCAATAATACTTGTCTTACCAGTATTAACAGGATAGTAATACCTATCTTACTAGTATAAGCAAGGAAGATACTAGCTCAGTAGCTGTTTAGTAGTTCACTATATTTGAATTCTTGCTAAGTAAGTTCCCTTCTGTGTTCTATGCTGTGAAAGTGATGAAGGGCTCATGATCTAAGGAACGGGAGCTACTCATCCCTTCCTCGGATCAAAGCTGAGTACCTGCAGTTCCCCCAAGGCGTTGTATGACGGCCCCTGGAGGTGTAGAGTTTTCAAATTTAATAATAATATCCTAGTATTACCTCCACTACTTATTCTCTTTTGCTTTTCTAATTTTGTCATATTTCTGTCTAAAAATTCCCTACCCTCTCTCTGATTATTCATTAAGTTATTCTACTTTTTCTCTCTCGTGTAATATTTCTTCCTTCCATCGCTCTCTATCCCTCCACTTTCTACGTCTGTTCTTCACACCCCTGTTTTCTTTTCGTCTTTGATTCCCTTTCATCTTTGTTTTTTTTTTTTTAATTCCTTTCTGCGTCAAACAAACATATCTCCCTTCAAGCTCGCTAGCTCTCTCTCTCTCTCTCTCTCTATTATCTTTACCTTCCCTCTTTCATCATTCATCTCTCCCCTCTCATTCCCTTCTTTTTAGTTTATTATCCCAGTCTTCATATTGCTTTTTCCATCTACCGTTCTCTTCTTAGTCCGCCCTTTATTGCCTTTCCACCTTATCTCCAATACACATTTAAAAGCTTAGTCTTTCATGTTCACCTTTTCCTAATCTTTATCAGCCTTCTCTCTCTCCCCACTTTCATCAGGCTTTCAATTCCATGTTTATTTCATGAGAAACTCTCATCGCATTTTTATCAACTAGGCTGATACAAAATTCAGTATTTTTGTGTATTTCTTTTTTGATCTCTTCCGTCACGCTCGTAAACATTCAAAAAAATGCTAATAGTCATGAAAAGCGCTAAACCAGGAGGGGGAGAGGCTATTAAGGGCTAAACCCGGAGGGAGTTATTGCAGCATGGTTTTATTTTAGTGAAAGAGGCATAAGCCCCTGAGGGTCTAACAAATTCTCTTTTTGGTTTTTATACTTAGGCAGGAATCTCCCTCTCTCTCTCTCTCTCTCTCTCTCTCTCCTCAACATAAAATTTCACCCCTCCGATGTCGAAAGTACAAACACTATACAGACTGATTCCCAAAAAAATCGAGAATAATGACTTTTCTAAAGCAACATGAAGGTTTACCTTACAAATTTCCATTATGATGTAGATAAAATGTATATAACTGGTGCCTTCCGTATCCCAGCTGACTCTGCTTTGCCAGGTTAAATCACTTTCAATCACTTTCGAATAATTAATAGCTAATTTGCATATATATTACCTCTCATCCTGCACTCACTTGTCTGGTGGCTTCATCAAGGAAACAGCACATTCTGAAAAAAAAAAAGTTCGTGTACATTGTTTTTGCACATCCTGCACAACCACATGAGTTCCTACGCGCACTCGCATACACACAGGAGTTGTGAATCGACCCCTGAAACCACATATAGGCACTCGAGTGCACACACACACTACATCGATATCCTGTTTGGTATTTACACATCTTGTACATCATTCACTTGTCTGGTATCTACACATTCTGCACATCACTCTCTTGTATCTACACATCCTGTACATCATTCACTTGTCTGGCAGCTACACATCCTGTACATGTGAATGATGAACAGGATGTGTAGATACTAGATATCATTATCCTAGACATGTTTAATTACACCCCCACCCCATAAAGTAACGTAATTGTTATATACACGGATAAGCGCTAAGCCCGTACAGATCATCGCCTGCAGAATGTGGGCTAATCAGGATTGATTCAAGGAAGGATATCATCAATGTCTTTGATCAAGAATCCTTTACCATCAATGATAACCATTCTTACCCCTTGATGCGACTTCTTAAGTGCGCAAAAACTTCATTAGAATCCTAGTGACGCCACCGCGAAATCATTTTCAAACTAATTGTAAATTAATCAGCGCGGACACATTTACAAAAGCCGAGGATAATCCCTGGATGCTGTAATGAGAAGCAAACACAAGCCTAATTGAAAGTGTGTTTTAATCAGGTTTTAACGGTGTGTTTGCCACTGTCTAGGGAAGCCGAGGCAATGGTCTGGATATGGCTAGGCTTTGAAATGAGCTGAGGTGGGATAGCAGAGTTCAGAATGAGCTGAGGTTTAGTGTGAGCATGAAGCTCACAATAAACTAGCCACTCAGACGGAACAATAACTCAGTCTGTTAGCTCAGTGTTGAAGAACTAACCTTGCCATAACTGATACCCACAACAGTAATGAAAACCAGCTAATGCAGCAATCACTGTAAGGACATGTTTCACAACAACAGTCAGGGGACGCACCTCCTAGAACAAGTGTCCATTAAACATGTTTTAAAGTGACTGCATTTTGCTGTGTTTTTCCAATGCTTACTACGCACTCATGAAGATGGCAAATGAAGAGGAAGAAAGAGAAAGGAGAGAGAAAAAAGTAAAAAGATGAAGAGTAGTGTGGAAAATACTGTATATATTTTCCGGAAATACGGTAATTTATAGGTAAATAGATGCCCTATATTGTATTTTTAAAAGAGGTATTTTATCGAAAATGGGAAACCTGCGGCTGGGGAGGTCAGTCGCCATTTTGTTTGAATTGAATAACACGTTGTGAATAATGGGAAGAATTTTTCGTGCTCTAGAGGTTAAAATTGGGCTGACACCTCTCAAATAGGAGGCGAAATTGTTGGATGTGCATTCCTGCATAATTTGAGAATCAGGAGACAGGACAGGACAACTCCGGGAACCTCAGATAAGCTGTCTAAATTATGTTTAATTTCTAGCCAGTAAATTCTTCATAAATGTAGGCAAAGGGGGGGGGGTCCTGTACATGACACATTAATCTCCAGTCAAATTGGTGAGTGTTATGATTAAGATATATTCTCCTTCTGTTGTATAAATGTGTATATATGTGTATCTACAATCATTTATTATTTTTAATATACAGTCCACAAATTTATATATTTACCAGCATTCCTAGTGATACAAATCATTTATGATTAATAGGTCCAGAGCAACTTGTGGATATGACAGAGGTAGGTATCGAAGGGGGACATTTTTTGCGACCTAGGTGTCCCAAATTCCTACTTGTCTAACTGATAAATAATAATTGTCTATGTTCATTTATTGTTATGTACATAATGAGTTACATACAGATAAATGCAATTTTCCACAAGTAGGAAAAACAGTGGAAAGAATACGAGAAGGGGGAAAATTACAGGAAGAGGGAGGAAAAAAACCGGAGACCTCAATGGAATTAAGAAATAGTCTACTTATTTCATGGGTTTTATCCCATCAATAAAAAATTCGCAGGCGCGCCCGCGTCCACACATTGTATTCACAAAACAGTTTACACGTAGATTTTAATCACAGATAGCTGAAAGCCGAACAGACAGCCGATGAAAAATTGGGTATTTTTTTATTCACAGGGTTAATGACCAATGAAATTATTTAAAAAAAAAGAGGGCAGTCCTAAGTCGACCCCTACCCCTCCTCTCCTCCACTACAGATTTATACACACTCCAAGTCATCCTATTTTATGGACCTTAAAAGACATCCTTTTTAATATAGACCCTAGCCAGTACCTTGTAGTCATGTATCGGCGACCCCCTCCCCTGCTCCTTGCATTCCTTTCCGCGTCCAGAACTCCTGAGCCACTATCTGCCTAGCGGCTAGGTAAAGCCCTGGTACTATCCCTTCCACTCACACATCTTCCTCTCACCTACCTATTCTTCCACTATCCCCACTTCCCCGCTCACCCCACAGGGGTCTTACCTATTCCCTCTTATTCTTATTATATATCCTATATTGCTCCACCCTCTCTAAATGACCAAACCACCTCGACAGCCCTTCCTCCCTACAACCACTGATACGTACACACACACAATTACTGAAAACAGTTCACAATGAACACAGCTTTGCTCCTGTAGCTACGAACATGTTATTACAATACGCACGAACAGTTCTACACGTCCACACATACGTACATGTACATACACACAGTGTACACACGTACCCCATGCACACAAACTTGGTGAGCAGCTGATCTAGCATGTCAGAGACATGTCCTGAGAGCACTGTCAATCAACGTTTCATTTACAGTGGTCACTATTGAAGTTATTGATGTGTGTTTACCAGGGAAGATGAGATGTTATGAACAAGCCTGCGGTGACGAGTAGTGAGTGTTGGTGCTTGTTGTGGAGGCAGCAGTGGTGAAGATATTATTGGCAAAGGTAGTGGTGAGGGTGTTGGATGGGGGGAGGGGGGTAGTTGATTGGGTTAGGGTTTGGTGGCGGTGGGGGAGGGGACATTGGTGGTCAATTTAGATTTCGTATAGAAATAATACACATTATATATATATATATATATATATATATATATATATATATATATATATATATATATAATAATAATAATAATTTAAACCTTCATATGCGAGAACTTATTTTGTATGTCAACAAAAATGTGAAGTGTACACACTTACCACTGACATGTTTCCTGGGAATTTTTGAATCATATCCTGGCGACCTGCCGAGTGATGCATTCATAGTGGTATAGAGTCCCATGGCTCGGTTGGCAACGCACTCGCCTTGCATACTGAGTGTCTGTGGTTCCATCTCCGGCATAGTTGAAAGCGTTGGATATGTTTCCTTACACCTGCTGTTCATGTTCACCTAGCAGTAAGTAGGTTCCTGGGTGTTAGTCCCTGGTGACGCACTGACATTATTGTAGTTATCCTGGGTGGCTAAACCTCAGGGTTAAAAATTCAAACAAATCTTATCCTATCCAGGCTCAGGCGCCTGAGTACACGGATAGATCCCAGGATATTCGCTAGGACCCAGATACTCCCTAGGGAGTCTTAAAACATTGGTTAACAGCGTTCCTATGTGGTAAACACCGTCAGCACTCCACTCTCAAGGGACTTCACTCAGGTAATGGCTACTACCAGCACCACATACTCCACTGCCTCATGTTAAAAAGCGTTTGTTATTTTTAGAGTAGATATATGCGAGTCTCTTTGTTAGAGTCGTTGTTAGAACCACTACGTTAGTCGTGATTCACTCATATATACCTGATATATGACTCGTGACGTTAGGGTACGTAGATGAAATGATGTTAAATGTAAACTGGATTACTCCAGCAGTACGTCTGGTAGTTTGGTGTTCGTATCGTCCTAAGAATTTATTTTTTCTCATATGTATTATTCATTTTATTTGCTTTAAATTATGAATTATTTATAAATAAATTCAATGTTTTTCAAAGAAAATTAACTGTAGCTCGTACAGCGGCATTTAATTGTTTAAAATTACGATTCAAAGTTCTAACATTTCTGAATTTATTTTGGTATCATCAGTCTTTCCCGTTTTTTTTTTACCGAGAACCCTAAACCCACGTGAGTACTTCAGGCTCGATACCCTGTCCCTATTCTCAGGACAACAAAGCTACCTAACTGGTGAAGGTGATTTTCTCATGTAATATTGGCAATGGTCATTGTAGTTGTAACTTCAGCATTAAATATATATATATTATATATATATATATATATATATATATATATATATATATATATATATATAATTGGATATAATGTATGTATATAATAATACTATGTATATTGGTTACAGAAAATTTACAAAGGGCAACAAAAATCACAAAGATTATATGACAATAGGTGTATAATAAGTCACAAAAGTTGTAATAAGCATAAAGGTTATGCTGCATCAGCTAGCTTTGGCTAGGCTGATGAGCTGTAATTAATTACGGTGACGGAAAGAGCGAGCTCGTACTTATACAGTAATAAATAGCCAATGAGTAATCCCGGGGTAATTATCCTTGGATGTGTGGTCAGAGCAGGGCTGAGGTTCCACTGTAGGTAAGTGTTAGAGAATTTTCCGTTCCAAAAGTGGACTTTATAGTAATATATATATGTATATATGATATATATATATATATATATAATATAATAGTTTATATATAATATATATATATATATTAATAATGTAGTGTGTGTGCGCGTTTGCAATGGAGCTTCCTGTCATGTATTTGCATGAACTTCCTCTTTTAGCAACATTGTGCTCCTGATGACGTGCTGATTGCAACACGAAAGGCCTAGAGCAAATCATTCAGGTTCCTCGTGTTGTTGGCATATTATAAAATATATATTATAAATAATATATATATTATATAGTAGATTATAATATATAATATATATATATAATATATTATTTTTATATATATATATATATATAATTATTTATATATAATATATATATTGATAATTTAATATATATATTAGGATATATATATTTATATATTTTGATATAATATATAATTATTTGTATATATGCCAAAAACCACGGAGGAATGAATGACTTGCTCTAGGCCTTTGTGTTGAAATCAGGCACGTCTGGGAGCAGCAATGTTGTGAAAGAGAGTTAGGAAATCGATGACAGGGGAAGCTCCATTGCACGGCCATCAATAATTATATAGATATATATATGTTAATATAGTAGTGGTGTGATATAGTTTTTTGGAGTGGTTGGTGCAATTATTTATATAATATGTATATGGATATATTATATATACTAGATTAATATATCTATAGTATATATTGTATATATAGTATATAGGATATATTTATATATAATAATATATATATAATTAGGTATAATTCATGTATATATATATTATAATAGTTATGTAATATATTAATATATTAATTAGAATATAAATAAGATAGATAATAGGATAAAGATGAACAAGGAGGCTTTAGGAAAGGTAGGTGGGTGTGTGATCAGGTGTTTACTATAAAATATAAGTGAACATAAATTATTAGATAAGGCTAAAGAGTTTAAGTGGCAATTTATGGATTTGGAAAAGAGCGTTATGCTTTTGAGGGTGGATAGGTTGGCAATGTGGGCAAAAAGTTTTCTGCAAGTTGTATATGGTGTGGAGGTGGTTACTGAAAGCAGTGAAGAGTTTCGTCGAGGAATAGTGGAGGCTCAAGTCTAGAGTATGTAGGAAAAAGGGGGTGGGAAATTATTTTCATAAAAGTAGGCCTTAGACAAGGATGTGTGATGTCACTGTGTTGTTTAATATATTTATAGATGGGGTTGTAAGAGAAGTAAATGCGAGGGTCTTGGCAAGAGGCGTGGGAGTTAAAAGATAAAGAATCACACACAAAGTGGGAGTTGTCACAGCTGCTCTTTGCTGATGACACTGTGCTCTTGGGAGATTCTGAAGAGAAGTTGCAGAGATTGGTGGATGAATTTGGTAGGGTGTGCAAAAGAAGAAATTAAAGGTGAATACAGGAAAGAGTAAGGTTATGAGGATAACAAAAAGATTAGGTGATGAAAGATTGAATATCAGATTGGAGGGAGAGAGTATGGAGGAGGTGAACGTATTCAGATATTTGGGAGTGGACGTGTCAGCGGATGGGTCTATGAAAGATGAGGTGAATCATGAATTGATGAGGGGAAAAAGAGGAGTGGTGCACTTAGGAGTCTGTGGAGACAAAGAACTTTGTCCTTGGAGGCAAGAGGGGAATGTATGAGAGTATAGTTTTACCAACGCTCTTATATGGGTGTGAAGCGTGGGTGATGAATGTTGCAGCGAGGAGAAGGCTGGAGGCAGTGGAGATGTCATGTCTGAGGGCAATGTGTGGTGTGAATATAATGCAGAGAATTAGTAGTTTGGAAGTTAGGAGGAGGTGCGGGATTACCAAAACTGTTGTCCAGAGGGCTGAGGAAGGGTTGTTGAGGTGGTTCGGACATGTAGAGAGAATGGAGCGAAACAGAATGACTTCAAGAGTGTATCAGTCTGTAGTGGAAGGAAGGCGGGGTAGGGGTCGGCCTAGGAAGGGTTGGAGGGAGGGGGTAAAGGAGGTTTTGTGTGCGAGGGGCTTGGACTTCCAGCAGGCATGCGTGAGCGTGTTTTGATAGGAGTGAATGGAGACAAATGGTTTTTAATACTTGACGTGCTGTTGGAGTGTGAGCAAAGTAACATTTATGAAGGGATTCAGGGAAACCGGCAGGCCGGACTTGAGTTCTGGAGATGGGAAGTACAGTGCCTGCACTCTGAAGGAGGGGTGTTAATGTTGCAGTTTAAAAAACTGTAGTGTAAAGCACCCTTCTGGCAAGACAGTGATGGAGTGAATGATGGTGAAAGTTTTTCTTTTTCGGGCCACCCTGCCTTGGTGGGAATCGGCCGGTGTGATAATAATAATAATAAAAAAAAATATATATATATATATATATATTATATATATATAGTATATATATATTATATATATATGTATATTGGTTACAAAAATTTACAAAAGCAACAAAAATCACAAAAGATTATATGACAATAGGTTATAAAAAGTCACAAAAGTTTGTTAAAAGCAATAAAGGTTATGCTGCATCAGCCTAGCCTTTGGCTAGGCTGATGCAGCTGTAATATAAATTACCGGAGTGACGGAAGAGCGAGCTCGTACTATATACAGTAATAAATAGACCAATAACAACCCCGGGAGTAATTTATCCTTGGATGTGATTGGTCAGCGCAGGGCTGAGGTCCACTGAGCAATGGAGAATTTTCCCTTCCAAATAGTGACATTTATATATATTATATATATTATATATATATATATATATTATATATAATGTATGTGTGTGTGCGCGTTTGCAATGGAGCTTCCTGTCATCGTATTTGCCTGAACTTCCTCTTTTCTGCAACATTGCTGGCTCCCGATGACGTGCTGATTGCAACACGAAAGGCTAGAGCAATCATTGTTCCCCCGTGGTTGTTTGGGATATATTTTATATATATATATATATATTTTATATATAAAATATATTATATATATTTATCAAAGGGACACAATGACGTCATCGACATCAAAGCAGCATCATGTAGGGGAGGTGAGCTGTCTTTAAAGTCAAATAACCCGTATTTGACATCAAATAACCCGTCCCTGATGTCAAACAACCGGTCTTAGACGTCAAACAACTCATCTTTGACATCAAACAACCCGTCTTTGACATCAAACAACCCGTCTTTGACGTCAGACAACCCGTCTTTGACGTCAGACACCAGCCCTTACGTAAACCAATATATCAACTCTCTTGTGCCTGAAAGAGATTCAATTACCTGTGATTCAGAGCCTAATAAGCAATTAATTACTGTCATTACCTTAAGTTACTCCAGTTAAATGGCTTCATGACGACACAACTACAGTGGTTCTGCAATACAGTGGTATATTGATGCTGAGGCGCAGTGGCTAACGGTGGTACAGTGGGGCAAGAGATACAGTGGTTGAGGTACAGTGCTTTTGTAATCCACTGGTACTGCACAGTTGCTGTATGATAATGTGTTACAGAAGTATATTGGTTTTGCAATGTTACATACACAATGATAAAGTTACAATTGAATAGCTACGTAGTTGTACAAATACAATGGTAGAGAGATGCAGTGGTAGATAATATGGCAAATTCAATGGTACAGGTTCAGTGGTACAGAGGTGCCGTGGTACACATAGTGGTACAAGGTTGATACAACCGTAGATATCCAGTAGTGCAATAATAGACATGTTATCTCAGGTCAGAAAACTGGAGCGGATGTCCCCAACACGCCCCGCAGGCAGAGTACTAATTGGAATGTTGGGAGCATGGGTTTTAGTCTTCTGCAGGCATCAACTGGGGTACTGGGAACATGGGTTTCAATCCTCTGCTGGCATCAAGTCGAGTGTTGGAGCATGGGACTGAGTCCTCTGCTGGTATCAAATGTTCATGTCATCTTGTATACGCTCTTGGGGATGGTTAATGGGGGATTTAAGACTATAGGCCAGGATGAATTACAACAATTGGATATGCTGAATGTTGAAGACATTCAGCATATCCAAACAACTGAAGTTAAATCATATTGCTCACAGTGTCCAGAATATCTTGCTGCCAATTCTGTCAAGGCTGGGAACCAAAACAATCATAGTACTAGGGAGAAAGAGCACAACTTTGTGGTACCCAGTCAGTGGCCAGCCGTCAAACACCTTTTATTGTACAGCAATAAAAGAATGGAACAGACTGCCTGCACATGTCAAAGCCAGCCATAGCATGAACCAGTTCCAGAAGAGAGCCAAAAGGTAACTAATGAATGTAGTGATAGAAAGGGAGGAGAATGATTTTTTAATTTTTTTAGCTAACAGATGTTAATGTAAATAACTCTTTTTTACCTTATTCCTAGTATATATCCTTTATAGTATAATAATAAGATATTGTGAGGACACTAGAGCACTCCAGGATGATTTGAATAGACTGATGCAATGGTCGGAGAAGTGGCAGATGCAGTTTAATATTGACAAATGCAAAGTTCTAAACGTTGGACAGTTAAATAACCACGCCACATATAAACTAAATAATGTAGATCTTAATA